TAAGATTTTTGATAAAATTGTTCTTGATCAAATGTTAAATTTTTTTAATATAAATAATTTACTTCATAAAAATCAATTTGGTTTCACAAGGGGTCGCTCGACAACTGATGCCGGTGTTGAGCTGATTAAATATATCTTTAATGCATGGGAGAATTCACAGGATGCTTTGGGTATATTTTGTGACCTATCCAAGGCCTTCGATTGTGTTCACCATGAAACATTAATCAGGAAACTTCAACACTACGGTGTAAGAAGTGATGCTCTTAAATTATTTCATATTTAAGTAAGAGAACGCAAAAAGTTGTCATTAACAATATGAGCTCTTCCGGATCGATGGTACAAATGGGCGTGCCTCAAGGCTCAATTCTCGGCCCCTTTCTGTTTCTTGTATACATTAATGACTGACCTTACATAGTAGGGGATAACCATGATATAGTATTATTTGCAGATGACACTTCTTTAATTTTCAAATTAAGTCGACAATTACTAAAATATGACGAAGTAAATAATGCTATATCTAAATTAGTAAATTGGTTCGATGTTAATAATTTGCATTTAAATGGCACTAAAACGAAATGTATGAAATTCGTGACTCCAAATGTCAAACAATTAAATACTAATGTAATTTTAAATGGGGAGAAACTGAGTCTTGTAGATACCACCATTTTTCTTGGAATCACACTAGACGCGAAGCTTCAATGGAGTCCCCATATATCAAAACTAGCAAGCAGACTTATTTCTGCAGCATATGCTGTAAAAAAGATTAGAAGTCTAACCAGTGTTGAAATAGCTAGACTAGTTTACTTTAGCTATTTCCATAGCATAATGTCGTATGGTATTTTGCTATGGGGACACGCAGCTGACACTGAAATTATATTTGTTTTACAGAAGAGGGCCATAAGAGCAATTTATGATTTAAAGCCTAAAGAGTCACTGCGACAAAAATTTAAGGAAATTAATATATTAACTTTGGCCTCTCAATACATTTATGAAAATGTAATGTACGTACACAAAAATAAAAGTAGTTTTACAAAAATAAGTGATATTCATTATGTAAATACTAGGAACAGACACAAGCTAGTAGTACCAGTTACTCGACTCCATTGAGTCAGTAATTCATTCTTGGGGCGATGTATACGCTTTTACAACAAAATTCCAGAAAATATACAAAGTTTGACCTGCTCAAAGTTCAAAAACTTTATTAATTTGTATAAAAAGAGTTATTATAATATTAAGGAATTTATGGATGATAATAACCCCTGGAAATGAGGTGATCGCTACCAAGCTATTTCTAATTTGTTGTGTTGTTAATTTGTGTAACATCATGATTGTAAGCTGTTATTTAAAAAAAGTCCCGCTGGGTTTCTTGCTGGTTCTTCCCAGGACAGAGGTTTTTTCCGAACCAGTGGTAATCAAACAAAAGAGTGACTTTCAATAAGTATTATTTATAATCTATATTGAATAAAAAAGTTTCTGTTTCTGTTTCTGTTACCACAAAGAGTTAAATGTGGTATCCTTATCCCTGATGCCCAGAGAGCCTGGAAAGACTCACGCGACATTGGTCGTGTGCTGGCGTACCAGAACCGCGGGGTTAACATCAGGGACTGGCTGTTACTCAAGGCAGATAAACAGACGGACGGGTGATTCCTCGTTATTTCGGTGCTGGAGGATCATATCCCGGTCGTGGAGGTAAATTCTTTGACACTCCACCAAGCAAAGAGGCAGTAAATAACCCGGAAGTTATGGATACCGGAGACATGGTTACTGGTACAGCGGAGTCACTGGAGGCCAAGTCCAGTGAAAAAACGGCCTGCACAATTAAGCCAAAGCCCCCAGTAGAGATCGGGCTCAGCGGCAGCTCACTGAGTGACGAGGAGGACTGCATTTTGCCGACCACCTCCGACTCGGTGGCTGACGATGAAACCCGAGATCTGCTGGCAGGCTTATTTTTGGGTGGGGACGGAGAGGACACGATCAATGATGGCGTGCCTTTCGTCCAAAACTAGTCTAGTGCAGGCCAACCTCCACCACAGCGAAACTGCGTCGGCTCAATTACGCAAGTGGTTGGAGGTTCAAAGGACGGCCTTAGCCTTAATCCAGGAGCCGTGGGTTGGGGCTGGTAAAGTTAAAGGCCTAAACAACCTAAAAGGTAAGCTATTCTACAGCTCTGAACACGACAAGCCTAGAGCGTGTATTTACACTACTAAAGATATCTGTGCACAATCATTAACAGATTTCTTTTCTAGAGACAGTATGCTGTGGCAATACAATATACATAGGAGAGAAGATTAGTCGTCGCCTCGGTCTACATGCCGGAGGAAGACACTTCTTCCCCTCATGACCTCGTGAGGCTGGTGAACATCTGCGAGAGGACCGGACTAGAGGTTGTGATCGGGACGGACTCCAACGCGCATCATCCCCTCTGGGGAATGGAAAGACCGAATGAACGAGGTAAGGTGTTAGTTGAATATTTATTTAGCACTAACCTAACTATTTTAAACAGGTTCTGAACCAACTTTCATAAACAAACAAACAAAAATTTAGCTTTCCATTGACGACTGACGTTTTGAGAAAAAAATTATTGAAAATCAATTATTCCTGTAAGGTTGATGTCTAATCCTACCGTAAAACTGGCGCCATTTTGTAATGTCATTGTCCACGTCAATAGGGATGTCTATTCTTTCCGAAAAAGGTCGATTTTTTAATCGATTCAAATTGTAAGCTGATGTATCGGTTTACAAAAAATCGATTTCTAAAATATATATATTTTTTTAATGTTTGCATTTATAATGTAAATATAAACCCATTTTATGAAAAACAAGAAAGATACCATGATAAATGATGTCTTATTGAAATCTGTTTTAACAGTACCTATTAGGGCAGATAACAAATAAAATAGGTAAGGTTCAACTTATGTCAAAGAATCGAATTGATTGACCCCGACTCCACCTGGTACGAGTCTGTCCTACCCCTAGAGTGGTTTTATAGAGCCGGATGCGCGTAGGGGGAGCAGCCTCCGCCTGCTGTAACAAATCGTAGGCATCGGACGAGCTGGAGCGGCTGAGGCTGGTCACCGAAGGCGACCATTAAACCGAAGCTGCAGCGGCGAGGAGGGATGCTTGCGATTTGTTACGCTAAGGCGTAGAGGCTGCTCTACCCGCCGCGCTGGAGATGTAGCACTCTCAAAATAGATACAGAAATTCTTCTGAATCAGTCCCCTTATTTTTTTGATGAAGGGAATTTTTTTCTCATAAAATGGATTTATATTTTCATTATAAATGCAAACATGAAAAAAAATAGATATTTTAGAAATCGAATTTTTAGGGAATCGATACATCAGCTTACAATTCGAATTTATTTAAAAAATTGATCGTTTTCGGAAAGAATCGACATCCCTACTGACAATAATAATAAAAAATGAAATCAGTTTCATGGTAGTAATTGACATAGATATTGCAAAAAAATTTGATTTTCAATAAAAATTTTAAATTAAAAAAAAAAGAAATATTTCTTTCTCAAAAAGTACGTGTTTCCGCATATTGAAACTGTGTGTGGGCTTATAAAAATGTAATCTTTCTGTAAAAATACGTATCAACACCAAACTCGACGGACATCAATAGAAAGTCGTACCATTATTAATTATTTATTATTTTGTTTAAATCATTAATTTTATTCAAATTTAAATTTTAACAAGTGACATAATTGCAAGTATTAATTATATGAGTTAACCTTTGTTCAACATGGGTCACCAAGTCACGTCTCCTAATCTCAATAGATCTTTGAATGATGACTAAAATCTCAAATTATTTTTGTTGATTTTTAAGAGATTTTACATATAAAGGAAAGTCCAATTATTATTTTTTTGTCTTAAAAAAAATAATTTGTAATATAAGTTTCAATAAAGACCATTTAAAACAAATTGTTTTAATTGTGTCCTGATAGCAAAGTTAACTGCAAGTGTAAGAGAGTGTACTTAACACTTGTGTTTAATATTTTACAAAATGTTTATTTTCAATTGTTCATTCATAAGTCAATGATGATATGATTAAATATGTCCGTCGATTAGAGGTGGACCAAGGGCCATCCTAGCATACACAGAGTAGCCACTGACATCTAGGTAAACTGATATTGGGATTACAAAAAACTAGTTTAACCTAATAAAATCTAGTTAATCCTAAAATCACGTTTGGCTGGCAATAAAGTGCTTTAGTCTTCAGGTGTCACTCAAAACTAGTTATGGGCTGGAATTTCAGGCAAAAGTAATTACTATTGACCTTACTTGTAGTCAAAAACACTGTGGATTGATTTTGTTGGTCAAAAGTAGTTTTTAGTAGAGCTGTGACACATTCATGTTGCAACTATGACAGCTGCACCTTGCTTCTACTATCATCATTATTACAGCCCTTCATAAGTCCACTGCTGAACATAGGCCTCCCACAAGGAATGCCACAAAGCATGGTTCTGAGCCAGCAGCATCCATCATCTTCCTGCATGTCTTACCAGGTCGTCACTCCATCTAGTGAGGAGTCACCCTACACTTCGCCTACTGGTACAAGGCTGCCACTCGAGAACCTTTCTTCCCCATCGGTTATCGGTTCTTCGCGCTATATGGCCGGCCCACTGCCACTTCAGCTTACTAATCCGTTGGGCTATGTCGGTTACTCTGGTTCTACTGTGGATATTCTCATTTCTAAGTTTAACATGCAGAGAAACCCTGATCATACCCCAGACTTCTACTATATTAAGTATAATTAACTGCCATTAAAACATGGAATAGGGGTGTTGACTGACACTCATAATAATTGCAATAATTTTGAATAATGATTGATAATGTGATTGTGATGACTTTGTTTTATTTAAGGTTTTGCCTGATATCTAGATTCATTACATAGGTCTTTCCAAAATTGTGTTAGCTGAGATTGTCAGATATTGTAGTAAATATTTCCAGCTTTCTTACTTTAATACAAAAAATTTTGTAATAAATAATCAGGTATACATACAGCAAGCTGAAAAATTAGTCTGCAATGCCAATAAACACTATGCTGAGACAACTCAATGGCTTTCCTTAGAATGGGTTTAGAGTGTGTTGGTTGGCCTTGCTGCTCAAATAACTCAGCAAGCACACTCGCTGCCTCAAACTTCACGTCGTCAAATGCATTGATGCTCTGAGACAAAAACCACTGCAATGAAAACACAAAATGACCCACTTCAACAACATTTGTTTACATTCTATGAGAAAGTTATAACTATAAGCCACTAAGAAACAAACTCGAAAGGAATATCGAAAGTTCAAAATGAATAACACCACTTTATTATTTCTTAAATTACCTCAAATCTATATTCAATAACAAAAAAAACTTACACTCTGCTCTAAATGCGTTCTCGCCAAGTCAATGTTTTTAGTGTGTGTCAAAAGAATATTTCCAAGTTGTAAGTGAGTTCTCGCCTCGACCCTTTGTGGTGGTTTGAAATTAAATACGGCTTGAAGACACTGTATACAACTTTTTATGTCAGGAGGATTTGATGTGCGGAAATGTTCCGCTAAACCAAGCAAAGAAATATACCAAGCGTCCTGCGTTGACGCCATTTTGACATTTCTGCTTGGAGGGAATAGTGTTGTTGTTGTTGTTACGATTCGCCACATATGGCAAGTAAAGGTATTAGACCATACAGTGTTATCTGACATGCATAATATTTAATAAATTCGAGTTACATACAAGAACCATTATATGGAGGGTAGAAGTAAGGAGGACTATCTCATATGTGGGATATGATGAAAAAATGTCCAGCGGCAAGCAGTAAATAAGAATTCAAAAACCTTCCAGAATGACGCTAACGTAGATACAGGGTATGGTATGAATGTAAGTTGTAGATGGATTAAAGTACGCCGAATAAAAAAAATTAAAATTTTGGTGAGTTGCAGTAGAGTATACAAAACTTTCAACTAATCCACTTAGCTTGCTACATATTTATTTATCTATGAACTATTCACGTAGTACAAAAATACTTTTTTAAATATAATGGGGAACACAAAAGGGTCAAAATATTACTACCAAATACTATTAAAATCGTAGCAAAGATCATGTACATTACATTAGTTTTTATTTCACTTCAATATATGCAGTATTTCCGAAGTTATAACGACGAGAAGTCAGAGAAAAAAAGAGCTTAATTTTTTGAAGTTTAGAGATTACGCGCGCTCTCTCTATGATGTCACAGCTCCGCAGACCGCGACCGCGACACAAACGCGACGCTCGGTCCGGTGCGGTTTGACCAAATTACGCGGGTCTCGTTTCATTTTCTTTCGATCGTCTTTGTATTTCTATTACTTATATTGTTTGTGCATGTATTTTAAAGAAATAATATTATCCTCTAAATCCGATTACACTAAAGTGAAACGTGTAGTGCCAGAATAGAAGACGGTTTTGTAAAAGGACAGTTGGACAATTTGCCAAGAGTGAATAGTTTGATGGTGGCATAATATTTCATGAAGAATCAGGATTTTACGGCTGCTGAAATCTGTGGAATAAAGATGAAAAGGTACGTACCTATGTTCTAAGTAAGCATTAAGTACCTACTCTCCTCAGTAAGCATTAGTAAGTTTGAACAAATACCTATGTAGGTATTTGTACAAACTTAAACATAACTAAAAGTTTGTGTGTTTTGTTTAATGCCGCCTCCACACGCTTGGTGTTTGCCACAAACACCAAACACGAACAAACATCGACCACATTTACCCAACACAAATGCGGCATCCACACGCTCGGCGAACGTGCTAGTATATTCCGGATAGGCAAACATGACGGACGATGAGCTTGTGGCAACGATTACTTTCGGGTTGACCTATTTTTATTTAAAAATAAGGCAATATGAATTGCTCTCAAGGTTATTGTATTGAAGATTTTACACACCATAGAATCTCAAATGAATTCTCAATTATCACTGCTATAAATTGTCTTCAGGTTCAAATAAGTTTGGTTTGAACGCTTTTATTCGTATTGCATAGCTGATTATTATGTAACACGTAATTCTTAATTAATCTAAAAACAAACTTTTATGAAATTAATGCTTGACCGGGGAATCGGCCCCCGAACTTTCGTGTGACATTATACTGAATTTAATTACTTTTAACATAGATTATCTCTTTATTCGAAGCGTCTTATACTTTTTAATAGCAATATTTTCAAAACGCACAATTGTTTATTTTTTATGGAATGAAAATGATATACTATTTTTTAAGCGCTTCGCCAAAACTAATAGTAGTAATGCATATGAGCCGTTTTCTTCATAAAATGTTTATTTTTAACAGCTTACAATAACATTACAAAGTTATTCATGCAGCTAGTCTTAGGTCTTTTTTATGAAAATGTAACGAAATTTTTACTAATCCAAGTATATTTTATAAGTTGGTCAACTTTATTATATTTATTACCCGTTAAATTCTTGATTCTACTTACTTAGCTTTGATAGTTTTACTTTTAACTGCATTATAAAAACTACTATTGGGTATACTTTTCACATTTCGATTAACATCGGTTAAGTTGGTAGAGGGGGACACATGACTCTAATGAAAAATAGCACTTTAAAGCTAAATATTTCACAAATGGACCCTTGAAGTTTTTGAAAGATCTATCCAACGATACCCCATATGATAGAATAGACACGTTAAAAATCATCCTCCATTTACTTGTATGGGAAGTACCCAAAATAAAAATGTTTTTTAAGATTTTATTTCACAGTTTTCTAGGCGTGATTAATATTTATAACTGTGCCAAATTACAGATTTGTAGCACCTAGGGTCTGAGGAAAACCGCGGACAGACGGACGGACGGACATGTCGAAACTATAAGGGTTCCTTGTTGTGTAACTACGAAAGTCTTAAAACTATTAAATCAGTTAATCAGTAAAAAACTACTAAACTTATCGATATATAGGATAAACTAATCTTATATAATTTTTTCGGATTTTATTATAGGAATTGATGATCAATGATCTTGCTTTCACACGGGGCTCCTTATAAAAAGAGGTGAAATATTTGTTACTCAATTGAAACATTAATTAGGAGTCAATCACATTATTATTGGGAGGTCTCTAGAAAACTTAAAAAATATAGGTGGTAGATCTACTAACTTTTCGAAGTAGAATTGGTAGGAAACTCAACTTCTGAAATCTTATTTACCTCCGCGACAAATTTCGGATTGGTAACATTGACGTAGAGTATAATAAAAATAGCCACTAGTAACACCTTCCGCCGCCCGCAAGCCGCAAGCTCGCGCGTACTACTGACTGATTGCCAAACGTGTGGATACATCACAAACACGTTTGTTGAACACCCTTTGATCGTTGCACAAAAACTGATACCAGCGCCGATCATTGGCAATCACAAACAAATAAACAGGCAAACAACCATCCACACATTCGTGATTGCTGTTTGGTGTTTGCTGTTTGCCGTTGTTTGCCAAGCGTGTGGATGAGGCATAATACTTATCTAATATGGGTGGCGATAAAAATACTAGGTACCTACTCGTAATCCACATCTCGAGGCTGTCGATGAATATTTCATGTGTTTTATTAGTTTAAACTTACACAAAATGTCAATATTTACGCATATAACATATAACAGATGTGGGTAAGTTCTACTACCTAGGTATTTAAGTTGTTATCAGTTTTCTAACTAGGCAAATAGGTACCTATTGTTCTATTGTTATACTAAAACAGATACCTATTTTTGATTAATTTTATCCAATACTCGCTTTAGTTTATTCATTTATAACAGAGGATAGATGTAGATGTCTATGGGCCGCAGCAACCACTTACCATCAGGTGGACTGTGTGCTCGTTTGTCACCCTTATCCTATAAAAAAAAAAAAAAAATTTACAGTTTTTTTTTTAAATTAAAACATTTAAAAAATCAGTGCTGAACAATTTGTGGGTAGAAATTTTTACTTAACATTTTTATTGGTTATTTATTAATGCCCGATCCACAAAGAGGGGTGTTATAAGTTTGACCGCTATGTGTGTCTGTATGTATGTCTGTCTGTAGTACTGTAGCTCATAATTGGGTGAACCGTGTTGTTTTTTTATTTTGTATTTAATGTTGTTTTTTAACAGTGGTTCATAGACATGTTTTATCAAAATCGGTTAAGCCGTTCTAATAGTACATTAAAAACGTACGTTTCGTAGTTTTTTTTTATTCGAAGTGTTATATGGTTCTAAGTCAGGAAGAGAGAGCTACGGGGTTGATGCTATAGGGTTTATACAGTTACAAAGAGAGGGAGATCTATGTACCGTTAAGTGCCCAATAACTCCTGAACACAAAGTGCGTTTAAAACCTTACCACTGTGTTTTGCAATGCAACGAGAAGGAAGAGGAGATAATAAGCATATCCTGAGAAGATTGTGCAGCTAGCAAATGCGGATGTAAACATGGTCTTCACAGCAGTGCGCTTTAGTTTTAGGGCCTATTGAGTCGACTCTTTTTACGGCTGTCATCCACTTTTTTCTAATTTTTGGGTCCTCAGCCACATAAAAAAAGAGTTAATCAGGTGTTTTAACACTTGAATTGAAACACTGAGGCACAATACAGTATTTTTTTCTATTTTTACCACAGAGAACTTTAAAATTGTGATATTTACTACGCAGCGGCATACAGACGAGAGCGCGATTGTTGTATGAGCGGGGGTGTGACGTCATCGGCTAGTGAGCGCCCGCCCGCGTATTTAAAAATCTTCGTTCGGAAACACGCACTTTGATCGTTAATATCTCAGCCACTTTTTAAGATATGAAAAAAATAAGAGCACAGTTTTCTCGTATTATTTTGTACATTTATATACTTAGCATGTAAAGTAAAAAAGTTTGTCAGGCCCATTTAATTAAGAAGTTGTCAGATTCGAGGATTAGCTTCTCTTTGGACCTCGGATAATCCTATAATATTCCAGCACAACTTGTTCATCTGTTCTTCCAGCTGCAGTATCTTCTCGTCAGTCTTCAGAGTGCGTGCCAGGTCGAGTCGTCTTAGGTGACAACCGAGCCTCCACCGGAGATTCTAGGCACCCCCTGCCCCGCCATTACCATGGTCACCACCGTAGCCAGAAATAGCAGAGCAGTCGGGGACTGGGGGCAGTCTTTTCGTAACTTAGTCTTTTGTAGACCCTTTTTACTGGAAACGAGGCATTCCATCTTAGACCTCACGGGTGACAAAGCATCTGCATTTTGATTCGTAATCGAGGATAAATGTAGATGTCTATAGGCCACAGCAACCACTTACCATCAGGTGGACTGTGTGCTCGTTTGTCACCCTTATCCTATAAAAAAAAAAACTGTCATCATGGGGAGTATATTGCCATAGTTGTCACGCATGATGAACGGGTTGGCAACCGCAGTTTTTTTATTGATTTCCTGTTATTATAAAGATGCTGCTGCCCATCTTCTGCCTTAGTTTCCCACTGTCGCCTCTTCCTACACCCACAGGATTATATGGGGTAGTGGGTATTCTTGCCCATCACTACACGGAAAAGCTATTTAACTTATCAGCGGTCGTTTCTCGCTTTGCCTTATTATACCATACAATGAAGGTGTAACTATCCAA